GCACTGGCTAACGATGACGTCACCTCCGCCGCGTCGCTTGTGCCGGCGAGTGTGACCTTCGGAAGCCCGCGCTTTTTTCTCGCGCATGCGCCAGCCGGCCGGCCGGTCGAACTGTATATTACAGCCTCGCGAAGGAAGACGCGAGAGAAAGGAGTGGGTTTTTTTTCTTCGTCTCCTATTTCGGCCTTTGCGAACGTCAAACGCGCCGGCTAGCGATATATATATATATATATATATATATTTTAGAAAAGTTTTGTTTGGCGCAAGAGGTAAAATTGCACCAAGGGAATTTTCAGAGCCATCGGCGCCATAAAAATCTCGGCAACCGATTTCTCATAGATCATCACGCGAAGCGTGCTACGTGTAGCGAGTCCTCGGCAATCAGTGAGTAGTTTTGTCGGCACGGAAAATCTTTCGCAAGCTGCGGTCGTGATCGGCGATAAGTATATATAATACGCACACTATTTTGACGGCCCTTATCTCGTGATTTGTACAAATGTTACACACGACGGGGCTGTATATTGGATTACGCGCGTTTTTCCCTCCTCCTGTTTATGAATGGAGAAAGAGAGAGGAGAGCTCCGATTATCGGAGAAGGAGACCTCGGGGGCAATTATACGTAACACGCGAGCGAGTTGCGCGCCCATTCATTCGCAGAACTGGCGCTCCGCCGTTTTTCTCTCCCCTTTTGACCTTTTCGTTTCTAATCTCTTATTCACTCTCTTCCTCCTCTCTATATGCTGCGTTTATGCCCACTATCTGTACACCCACCGACAAAGGAAACGTTCAAACTAGGGACCTTTAAATCGCGTCATTATCAATCATCACATGAACCGGTAGTCTGTGCGGGCATCCGTTTTTTTTTTTTTTTTCACCAACGATTGCACTCGCTTATTAGAGAACGAGCCATCTTCGCAGAAAGTCGTCTGTCAATTCGGTGCCCCCCTCCCCTCTGTCACCCAACGAATTGAGAAAAAACGAAGAATGCGATGGCAGGGGTTACAAAAACAAACCGATTTCCTTACCGATCTCGCGGTACGTGGGGACAGAAATTCAATCAAACCCACCGAGCCCCAAAGTATTAGGGCTGGAGGGAGGGAAAAAAAAAAAAATAGAAAAACTAATAGCCGTCAACTTGGCCAATAATCGTACAAAAGAGCACCGCGGACCCTCCTCGAGCACGTTGATTGATAAATTATGCCCGTCTTAGAAAGAGCTCGAGTTGGGTTTAGGTCAGCAGTTCGGAGAAAGCCGGCACTGTCGGGGGAAAAAAAAAAAAAGAAAAAAAAGCGCGCCCAGAAGGGGACACTCACGCACGCACGCACGAGAGCTCATTTCGTAACTCCCTCCCTCTCGGCCATCGGATGGATAAACGCTTCGTTTGAAACATCGGCTTTCTTTGTTTTGTTTTTTTATTCTTCGGCCCCCCCGAGCACTGGGTTAGGTAGCTACCAAGCCTTGATTCGGCCGATGCTCACAAGCCAAAGGGGTTAAAGGTACACATCATCGCTGGAGTGAGTGTATTGTTCTCGCACAGCGAGAGAAAGAAGGAAGGAAGGTAAAAGAAGCGACATTCCGACGCGAAAACGTGTGCGCGCACTTTTGCGGATAATCGTCGCCACCGCACGGCAGCTGTTTTACAGAACTCGGTCAGCTAAAACGTACACTGCGCGCCTGTGTGTGTGTGTTGTATTCCATAAATAAAATCTAATCTGAGGCGTGGATCTGGCGCCACTCGGCTGCTGCTATACCGCCGGCTCGTTATGAACACACGCGGTGTGTGTGTGTGTGTGACTAACTGCGAGAAGGAAGCGCATAATTTTCCGTACGAGTGTAAAAATAAAATAAAACGGGGAACAATGGTATGGGGGACACTCGCGTGATTAAAGGCCGAATTTTCGTAACGCCGCCTTGGTGGTCTCATTGTGGGTTGTGCACGCACGCGACGTGTGCTTCGTCATGAAGGATGACGAAAAAAAAAAAAAAAAAATCGAATCGGGCGTCAATTGTAATAATTATCGAGCACGCCGGTGGGAGGAAAAAAATAAAATAAAGTAAAAAATGTAGAGTATACGTTTTCCACGCGTGAGCCCGAGGCGCGGAGATAAGAAGCGATCGGTTAGCGGAAAAATCGAGCCCATGAAAAGTTAAACCGATTTTCACTTGTACGGGCGCCGCTGATATTTCGTATACCGATATACCATAGAGTGCACGAGATACAGCGGTTCTGGTCGAGCGAGGCAATTTAATTTCCGGCTGCCTCCTCTTCTTCTTCCACTATACTTGTACTCGAGGGGAAGGAGAAAATGTCACATAATGTGAATACACGCGCTCCCACAAAAGAGAGTATAGGGATCCGTCAGTAGCAACTGGCAACACACATACAATGGAAGCGCAAAAGAAGACCGGCGCTTTTATATGCGAATGTAACTCACACGTACACGCGGAAGAAGAATAATAATAATAATAATAATAATAATAATAATAATAATAATAATAATAATAATAATAATAATAATAAATGACGCGTTGTTACGTGTGCATGTGTTTTCTGCCGACGAGTCGCCGGGATGATAGTGTCGCCGCATGGCGCAACGTTATTGTAGCCGTCGCAGATAATACCATTGCATATACACACTGTCACTGCCACTCGCGACTATAATACCCTCTCTTGCTAATACTCATACATGTATATAATAATGATAATATTATCTTCTCCTTTCTCTCGTCTGCGGCACACAACTTATATATCACGTGGACGACCGCGAGAGTATAGATACCTGTGACGCGCGCACGGGCATTTACTCATTGCGTACACCAGTGTACTTATTATACGTACATTATAGTTTGGTACGAAAGAGCCTATACGTACAACACACGCCCAGGTATTGGTAGGTGTATGAAAATAAGTTTGTAGCCGGTGCGAAAAAAAAATGAGACGAGCTCGGACAATAATAGTGCGGTTCGAAGCTTCAATCGGCTCGGCAAATATAGGGAGAGAGTATCGATTGTGTGTAACCACTGCGAAATCCCAAATCAGATGTAGGTATATGTATACGAAGAGAGACAATGGCGATATATCGGCCATCAAGTCCCACCGGATAAACGAAACACACGCCACGGGAGCGACACAAGATAACGCATATTGTGCGTATAAAACCTATAAAACGTACACGCAAATTGTTACGCGCGCGCGCGTGTGTGTGTGTCTATGGGTGTACGTACCTATATATACACACTACCATAGTCGTAACGCGCCCTCCTTTCGCGAATTATTCGCCTGTATACAGTTATTACATCCATCTCCGTGCGATGGGACACACACGTACGTATACGTACTCTTACATGCATGGCTCTATTACTTTATTACTGCGACGAGGAGGGAGACGTCGGTGCGGATGATGAGTCGAGAAAGCGAGCGGGTTGTATACCTATAGCAGCTATCAATGCACCAGCCGGGAGAGCGTGCAACGACACTGCATACTCTCTCTCTTTGCAGTGCAACAGTCGCGGCAGCGGGAGGCGGGAAAAACCAGATTATTTTTTCCGCGCACGAGCTAGGATGCATGTGTGTGTGTGTGTATGTGTATATGTATATATAATACCCAGTGCACCCGGAGCCGGCTGCAGGCGAGCGTTGCATACCGAATCGCAATCGCATTCCTCGACCGAGCTGCTGCCGCGTGTGTGTTGGTACAGGGTACCTCTTTGTATATACCGTTACGGACACGACTACTCTCTTCTTCTTCTTCTCGGCCTCCTCATCTCTAGGATGTGTTGCCGGTATAATACTATGTATACCTACCAACCGATGCTGCTGCTCTTCTCCAACACCTCTTTGCCCTCCAAGTTTATACCAGCGCGGTACATAATATATAATCGCCACTTTTTTCGACGGCTTTGCTTTTTTTTTTTTCTTCAACACCGATGCACACGTGACTTACGATGCGAGCTTTTTTTTTTTTTTTTTTAAATAAGTCCCTCCTTTTCCCCATGTCCTTGCGCGATCTACCGAGTAATTTAATTAATGATAAAGCTCTTTAATTAAAGTGCGCGAATCTTGCTGCAATTTGCCAACTTGGTCGATCGAATGATACTGATTGGTATTCATGAACAACTATCTAGGTGTACCGATTTTTCTTCCCCTCTCGTACCAACAAATTAATTTTTTCATGTTTTTGAGCAAATCAAAGCAAAACATTACATAAACACGAAGGAAAAAAAAAACGCTGCCTGAATGACGATGTATATAAAAACGTTTAAAAGTGTCCCTTGCTCAAGGCAATAATGACAATCCGGCCCATGCCGGCCAATAATCATTTCGTCGTACCGAGCGCTGCTTTAACAAATGGCGCGAGGGCTGCATTTGTAGATATACATAAAGCCCGCAGCAGCGCTTCGAGTCGCTCTAAACACACGAGTATTGTGTGTATGATGTATACACAATATACGCCGACGATTGACAGTGGCGGCCGGCTTTTCGAGCGTATATACACAACACTCGCGCATCCGGGGCTACTGTGTGCCATCCACGCGTATTATGTACAGCACACTCTGGCGAGCTACCGCGTGTCGGAGATTAGCGCCGGCATGCGGGTGCCGGTCGGCTCCGTGATACATCGTCCATGGGAACCCGATCCAACGCCACCCTCTCACTGGCCTACCTTTTTGGGACAAGTCATTATTTCTTTTTCTCTTCTCCTTGGCTTTGGAGATGCTCGTACTTTGTTACGATTGTTAAAGGGATGCGCTTGCTCGTTGTAGTTTATACATGAGAGCATTGACTGATGATTGCCTGACACATTGATCGTGGGGTGACGGCTATCGCATGTGTAATAATATCGAAACATTTTGGGGTGGAAACGGAGAAATTGTTTTCATCAATTTAAGAATACAACATTTCATGAGTGTGTATCACATCGGAGTAAATAATTAAGCTTTGTTAATGTGTGTGTAAAATCATATGCGTAAATGAGAAAGAGAACCAGAACAAAGATTACCTGTGTCGGAGGGCGTGGGCGGGGCACCGAGGCGTTCGAGGCTCTTGGGCGAGAGCTGGGCCGCGGTGTTTGTCGTCGTCGTCGTCGTCGTATTCGTCATCGTTCCCAATCGCCGCACCGCGGGCAACGGGCTCAGAGTGTAGCAATGGTCGTTCATCGTACTGCTTCGGATCTTTGCCTCCTGGGCCGCGCGAGTACTGCTAAACTGATCCACCACCTCCTCCTCCTCTTCTTCTTCTTCCTCCTCCTCCTCCTCATCTTCCTCCTCTTCCTCTTCCTCCTCGTCGTCGTCGTCGTACTTTTGCCAACCGTTCGTGGGCAGTATCTTGTCGTCGTGCAACACTCGGCTCACCAGCTGCTGGTTTGCGAGCTGACTGTGACTACTACTCGTGGGGTGGTAGTGATATTGTTGCTGCTGCTGCTGTTGCTGTTGTAACCTGTCGGAGTTGCTGTACTTGGCGACACCGTCGGACGAATGATTCGTCGTCGACTGGCCCCACGAGAGGAATGTGTCCACGTAATCGGTGTCCTCGTCGCTACTACCACCCTCCTCCTCCTCCTCCTCCTCCTCCTCTTCTTCCTCTTCCTCCTCCTCGTCCGTGGTCAGTATCTCTTCCTTCATTTGGAAATTAAAGCTAGGCTTGAAGTCCTCATCCTCGCAGGCGCTGTTCTCCGAGGCCTCGAACGATTGCATGCTCAGCGGCGTGAGCGGCCGTGCCTCGTTGGCTCTGGCGCCACCGCCGCAGCCAGCTGCCGTCGTAGTGAAGCTGCCCAAGCTGGGCCGGGCCACCGACGTCATCATGGGATTGGCCAGCACCGGGGAGCTCTCGTGCAGAGAATTGTTGACCAGCAACGACGCGGACGAGGGCACGGGGGAGACGGGCGAGGACGACGAGGGGGTTTCGAGCATGCCCATGGGGACGCGCATGAGCTCACTCACCGGCATCATCGTCATGGGATCCAGGTAGCACGGCGACGAGGACGGCGACGACAACGACGACGTGGACGAGGACGGGGACGACGACGGCGACGAGTTGTTGTTGGCCGTGCCCATGATGGCCTGCTCGTTCTGGAAGAGTAGGTGTTCCAACTGGAGATCCTGTAACGAGGACACCTGCGTCATTGTGCTGTCGTTAATACGGTGACCGCACTCGGCAGTCGGCCACATGCAGTCCTGCAGCAACGAGGGACTCTCGAGCTTGTTTACCTGTTCGACGTTGTTCTCGAGCATACAGCCCTGGGGTGACAGCGAGTCGAAGAGACAATCGTCGATCTCCTCGCTCAGCATTTTGTTGATCTCTTCCGGGCCGACGTTGTTGAAAAAGTCTCCCAGGTTGTCGCTCCAGTCGCCGCTGTTGTCGGTCGACGCGCTACGCATCAATTTCACCATTATCATCATTACATGTATACGTACCCTATACATAGAGCCGGAAAATTTAAAGATGAAGAAGAAAAAAAAAAAAAAAAGGATTGGAAGCAAGCGCCGGTTATATATGAAGGTAAACGCTAAACATTTGCATTATTTCCCGTGTACCGTCCATTATCCGATGAGAGTCAATAACAGGAGGAGGCGAGTCTCCGCGACATTCCGCGCTGGTATGGACGACGCGGGCAATGCTTGGCGGAAGACAAAAAAAAGCGACGCGGGAAAATTGCATTTTGCACATCGTTCCGCCGAGGAGAGGCGGAAAAAGGCAGGGGGGGAAAAAAAAAAAAAAAAAAAAAAAAACAAGCAGAGAAAGCAAAGGGGAGAGATAAGGAGGCGATTCTCGAGGCCGCGCGCACTTCTCCCGCCGGCTCGTCTGGCGCGGTGGGGTCCGACGATCCCCTCTTCCTCCCCCCCCCCTCACATACACACGGCTCGCTCCGTCCCTGTCAGACGATCGATGCACCGGCGTCGTCCGCGCGAACCCAAAGAGAGAACGTCGCTATATAGATATATATGATATACGTGTCCGTCCGCGTCTTGCGACAAAAGTTGTAAAACACAGTGTAAACGTCACCGTGTCTCGCGGGTAGGTGGAGGGGGGGGGCGACAAAAAACACACGAGCATCTAGACGGTGAGACAAGGGGCAGGGAGGGGGGAGATTATCCAGACATTTTCCCGACACGCCGGCAAACGTTGCACTTTGTTATGTGGACGCGCTGTTGTATTATTAGCTCGCGTTGCGAAACGTTGTCTTCGCGCCGGCCGGCTTGGCGAATATCGCGCTGTTGGATCAACGATGTTTTTAAAGAGGGAGGCGTCGATAGGAGCGGGCGAGCAGCAGCCGGATGATTTTTATGTTTGGAACAAAACTTTGCTTGGTTTGGCTCTCGCGCACGCTTCGCGAATGTCAAGTTCAAAGGCACGAGAAATATAGGAGAGAGAGAGAGAGAGACAAGGTATACGCGCGCGGAGTGACTGACGAAAAATCGCAAACGTGGGAAGAGCCGGCAAGTGGTGCGGGTCGCGCGACGCCGAAAAAATATCCATTTAAATATCAACGTCTCTCCCGACATGCGCGGGCAATGTATGTGTATGGGCGGCACTGGCGCATTCAAGTTTTTTCGCCCGTGAAAATGCACTGCGCCAGGGAGAAAAACAATGACACTCGCGCGCACCCAGCCCTGTAACGCTGAGTGGTTTCTGACGGCTCAAAGACGACGCAAGCACCATGGGAAAGAGGAACAAAAAGAAAAAAAAATTTTTTTATTTTACGCAAGTGGCTCTTTTGTCGCCCCTTTTGGCGTCGTGGCCTCTTTGCTGCAATTCCGGAATTGGCTCGACTCGCAAATTCTCAAGAACCCTCGAAATACTTGTGAAAGTACTTTAACTGCGAATGCGAACAATTGGAATTTTCAAGCGGACAGTAGTTTACACGCGCAGTATAGTTTTATCAAACGGTGCGCATATACATGTACACACGTACAAGATTGACCCACTGACACAATCTCGTTGACCGGCGACAAATTAAATCCCCGATAAAATAAATACGTAAGAGACGAGCCGGACTCGAGTGTACGTTTTATTCGCACTGTACATAAAACACCGGGTCATTAGGTGACTTGGGGGCTGTATACTTATCGGTCCGAGCGGTCGGAGCGATCGGACCCAAATGCGCATTCACTAGAGTATATTATTGGGTCTGAATGTCTGACCGCTTCGTAGCCAGCTTGGATGTGTATAATATGGAACATGTCGCTGTGGAATGCTGGCTATTGTTACGCGGTTTGAAACACTTGTTCGAAGCGGCATTCGCGAAATGTCCTGTCAAGGCGTCCCGGTGTACAAACCCTTACACTTTTCGAAACAATTTTATTAAAAATTAAGTCAAAAATATTTTAATCACATTGATAACGTTGAAACAATATTAATACGAGTTTTTGACGCAACCATTTTTTACAACGGTGCAACAATCAATTTTTCTACGTGGGCACAAGGATTTAAAGTCCCACAGGCTATATTATTTATAGGTACACGTATGAATAGTCCCAAATAAAAATTGAAGTCTTCGATATCCACGAATTCTCTCTTCAAATGGAATTTTTCATTTATAATTTACAATTGCCCCTCGTTAAATACTCGTCATATTTGTTCAAACTGATATGGTGGTTTTAATGTATGTCTGCTCTTTTGATAGCAAATGTTAATTGATAAAAATAAATTTAAAGAGATCCAAAAATCTTCCTATCGTACAAAATGAATAAAAAAAAAAAAAATTTTTTTAATAATCGTGCGTATCATTATTCCTTTGTTAGTTTAAGACTTATACTTAAAAGTTATCCATCATAAAACATGAATTGGAAAAAAAAAAAAAAAAAAAAAACTTTAATCTTGGTCCCCGTTTGTGGTATATCCCCTTTAAAACTCGAAACATTCCGTACGACACGCATGAAAAAAGTCATGAAACGCGCCACCATTGGACATATAAAGAAAATTGTGATAAAGATCTTAGTTGAAAATACACACATTTATTTGTCATTACTTGTAAATTAAAATAAAACAATTTTCTATGTTACCGATCTCAATAAATTGTTAAATACAATAGTAGTAGTGAACCAAGTCCGCAGCACCAAAGTGAACAAAATGGAGAACGAAAATGGAACAAAATGTAGTTGTCGAAGGTATGGATTATTATTACACGGAAACTTATTTGCGAAAAAAAAAAGTAAGTATTTATCGTATGAACATCATAAAACCAAAAAACAATGAGCGGTCGAAACACCTTCGATCCAAACCGTAGCTAATTTTCGCGGACGATAACAAAAAACAGAGAGAAAAAAAAACAAGCCAAATCGCACCATACAACAACGTATAGCTGACCTCCCAACGGACTTCTAGGGAAATAGTCAAGAGTTGGGGGGGAGGGAGACGAGAGAGACCAAAGAAAAAAAAAGACGCTCTCCTCTGCCGGCATGGCGCAAAACGTCTAGACGAAGACGCCGGCGCAGATTTCCCGCGAAACGGTTTCTGCACACGTGCCTCGAGAGTGGCGGTGGCGGAGGCCGGCTCGACCCGGCGAGCGAGAGAGAGAGAGAAAAAACAGGCGCCGCCGCGCATCGCCCCCGATCGATAATAGGCGTGTTATGCGGCAGCGGCACGACGCGCGCTGAGTCCTACGCCCATTTTGCGGAATGGCAGGTACATTGCGGCAGGTTTCTCCTGCCGGCGACGAAACAACGCCAACTTATCAACTGAAACACGATGATGTATGATTTTAAAAACTGTTCTTCCGACCGGCTCACGACAGGAAATGGCGGCCTCGCAGGCACCGGGATTTTCGAAATCCACTCGCGCTAGAATTTTCGAATTTCACGACGCCGCTCGCTTCGAGTGTACGCGAAGAGAGAGAGAGAAAATAAAGAGCAATATATCACACTTGACGAAAGACTCACCTTTCTATCGACGAAATAGCCGGTGACCTGAAGAGGTCGTCAATGTCCAGTTTGAACATGAAGTGATCCATCGTGATATTCGGATCCAACTGTACTCACTGATTTGAAAAAAAAAAAAAAAAAATCCAACAGCACCCCGCACAAAAGATCACGCGCGAATTCTCCGCGGAGAAAAGTAGGCGCTCGAATCACAATATCCAAAGTGTCGTCTTGAAAAGGACGAGGCAGGCTCGCTCTCGAGAGGAACGAAAAGCGAGAGACCCGGCTTTCGTCTCCCTGTCAAAGACGAATAGTCCTGATGCAGTCTTCTTTCGATACGAGTTTCTTCACACTGTATGCACACTGTACACTCGCACTAATCCGAACGAATGACCCTACACCGGTGTCCCGGGGAATAAAGGAGGAGAGGGGCAACAGTCAAGTGTCAATTTTCAACAGCCTGCAGCACCACCAAGTGAAACTCACGAGCTCCGAGGAAACGACTTGTCGATGCCAATAGTCCTGAGCTTATTACTCGAAAAACACGTAACAGTACTAATAATGGAGGAGCCACAGTAATAGCAATCGACACAACTACTGATGGCTAATCCTTGGCGGCGTGCGCTGATCATTCTCCCGTTGGTCGTCTCAAAGCCGTGAGAGAGCAAGTTGCACTATATGTATGTATGTATGTACGTATACACTTTATACAGTAAAAGAAGAAAGCAAGTTGTGGAGAAAGTGATGTGATTGGATTTTGCTGCGAAACGGCAAGGCGAGGCGAGGTGCCTTGCTGGCAAGCCGAAATCCAACTGACGCAGCTCTGAGACGCCGGCTTGGGCTTTCCGTCTTCTCTCGTGTTCTCGTCGTCCGGCGTCCGGTAGGTACGGTATCGCCTATACTTCTCCCCACAGTCCCCGCGCCGCCGACTGGGACCTGCACACTGCATGCCAGCCTGCCCCACCACTTACTATACAGTACAATATATATTATATATACAGATGACGCTGATGTACGTACACCAATACTACAACGCCACGTCACACGTACACTGAGCGGGAAAAAGAGAGAGAGAGAGAGCGAGTATAAGCAATAAGGGGGAAATGGGGAATGTATGGTAGCGGGTTGAGAGCAGTGCTGCATGGCCAGGTACGTACCAAAAATATAGGCGCTTTATTGGGATTTGAACTTCTATTATTCTATAGAACTTATTAGTCTGAAAACTTTAAATATTCATTTCACCATCATCATCAAACATAGGGGTTAGGTTAGCATTAGGGTCAAAGTGCGGGATTATTAATTTATACGTACCTTTAAATATTAGTGATTATTATCGCTTCCTGCGGTGTCGCCTGACACATGTCATGGGGACGCTCTCGATCAGTTTACTTCAAATTGTGCTTGTTTATTAAAGTTTTTCATGTAAATACAGTATTTATCATGAAAATGTTTCATGAGTTCCATCTCGCTTTGCTCATATACCTGCTTATGTGTATGTGTATATACGTGGTCCACAGTGTCCACACTCCATCAATGTATTACTTAATTACTTTTTTTTTATAACCTAAACAGTTTCAAAGTGTAAGAAACACAATCTTAGCAGCTATAGTCTTCCATGCAATTTCAAAATGTCTTAAGCTCTCAAACTGACAACTAATTAGATAAAGAATAATGAACACCATTTGTTTTACCAAATCTTTACTGTCTCGTTATTTTTATACATTAAAAGGATCTAAGCATGACTGTATCCAAAAATGCTTGGATGTGCAAAAAAGTTTTGAATATTAAATTTCTTACTACCCAAATGTGTGATGGTAAAAATAGGGCATATACTGTTTAATTAAAAATTTTAAGTAGATCTTTGACGACGCGAGACTTAACACTGTTAAGAATCTTAATAACTGCAATTTTTCTTCTTCAATTTATCCTTTTTGCATGTTATTGCCAAATCTTATAGTAACGATCGTTGTATTTCAGGTACAAAGAACATAAATATGGAAGCTGCTGGCTCCTCTTATGCATACTTACCTGTCAGTCAATTTAAATGAAATACGATAGGTTGAAAAGATATTAGATAAATTCATGGAAAAAGTATAAGCTAAAACAGAAATTGTGTTACAACTTGCTAGACAACATCTACTACAGCAAGCATCCATGTGTTCATCATCCTGAATATTTATTTTGCTACTTTATAGCTCTCAGTGGTCATCTCAAGAGTTTGTTGAGTCATTCATCAATAGTCCCAAAAGTAAGTACTTACCCAAAAACTTGATGCACAATTATAAAAAAAAAACTTACGTCTTGTCAAGTAACAAATAAAAACTCATGTATATACATTAACACAAGTAAAAATATTTTCAAAACTCAAAATTATAATTCCTGATTATTAAATAGAACACAATTGAAATTCACAAAAGTGTGTAAGTCTAATGTTTACATATTTGATATTTTGTAGATTACTATATGCTCACCTACTTCTCACGTATTGCTCCTACTGCTACATCATGTGGTAAATATAAACAATAACAACAAATAATATAAATTTCATGAATTTATGAGAAAAAACTGTATTATTCATAAATACTGATCAGTCTCTAACGAGTAGAATGTAAATATGCTTACAGGCTTCATTTACCCTTTATTTGTTCTGTTTAAGCCATTTGGCTTTTTTTTTAAAATGTACTAACTTTGATAAGTTCTTTTAGCCACAAATTGATTGCAATTATTAAAAAATCAACATTCAGTTCACTGTTTTAGAATCGTTATCAATTTGACGCCAGTAGCTCATTAGGAGTTATCATTCGGACTACTTTACTCGTCCTTAATTATGATATTTCATAATGCAACGAATTCTTGGTTTTCAAAAATTTTTAATTACCATCGGTATTCATAGCTTTCTTTATTTTAACTTTGTGGCATTTTTAGGAAAACTCTCGAGCATTGCATTTGTGACTGATAGCTTAGTAACTGCTTAACCAAAAATCATGAACTACATTGTATTTCTAACACAATTGTTTGTGCAATCGCTAGAATTATAGAAAAAAAGGAGTTCTCAACAACCAAGTTTTTTTTTTTTTTTTTTTTTTTTTTTGTGGAAAATTATTCACGGCACTACTGCGACATGTATAATTTGCAGCAGGAAGTTGCAACTATTTACACAAGCGCTCCACATAGTGTTACCAGCGTGCGCTTCCATTGCATGATTTTTCACACCTTGCGCTCTCTGCAGTAATTTTTTTTCTGAAAACATAAAGTGTAGGTATACGGTTACGCGATACCCTTGTCCCTTCTTCGTTTTTTTTTCTCCCATACGCGTTCAGTATAGGTATTGAGTTGCACAACATAAGTAGATTTTCCATAGCTTGGTCCGCAAGATGCTTCGATACACATTGTAATACTCTCGACAATTTAAGGGTTCTCATGTGTACGGTGCGTTGCGAGGGTGTGACGTTACCAAGACATTTTTAGTAATACTAGCTGAAAAAAAAAATTTTTTTTTCAATCTGCAATGCAGCAAAAGCAAAAATTTGTAAGAAAGTGACATTAAGAGCACGACTATTCGTTGGAGGGTCGTAATAACAGTAGTCGTTTTCCTAACTGCGTGGCTCTGCTCCTTCTCCCTTTTCCTCATATACATTTAATGCGAGTAGTTTCTTCGGCAAAAGCAGTTCCGCTCGCACAGCCCCCTACATATACACTAAGTATACGTACTTTTGTACGTACCTTTTGACAAGAGATGTATGGGTGTGCGTTACGCTCGACCGAAATCGCAAACCGAATTGAATGTCGCTTCTTTTTCGGTAAACATATACGTTAACTAAGCAGGAAAAGGAGGGAACGAAGCTACGTAGCTGACTTTGTACTCTTCACTCGCCTCTGTATTTACGTAACACAAGTTTTTCGCCCCATTAGTTTGCCCTCTGGTGTATAGTTTATTTTTTTCTCTCTCTCTCTCTTTGCAAGTCAGGGCGAAACTTTCGCTCAATTTTCTTGCCCCGCGAATTCGCGTCGCATCGATATTTTATTCGCGCAGTTAAATAATTTTCTCTCGGCGATTTTCCGCAGCCATGCGTCAGATTACGGTCGCCGTAAATTTTCCCCGATCGCGTGCAATACATTAACACGCAAAATAATCGCTAGATTTATTGCCCAAAGTTACGGTTTTTTTTTTTTTTCCCCCCGTCTTCTCTCGGTCTTCCCAGTCCGACGTGGTTTTTCTTCGCAACACCGCTCTCGTTCACTTTCTAGTGTATAAACTGTACGTGACTATACGCCGTACAGCGCTACGTGCCTGTACGACACTTATTCAGTAGCACGATGTAGATCACCAGCGCTTTTAATCGCGTGGGGCCATGTAAAAATCGGCAATCGATCGTTTACGTGTTAAATCTATGTTTCAATTGTTTCGAGCTTGCTGTACAATAATAATGATGAAGTTTCAGGTCAAACAACCAGAGTACGAGAAAACGTTAATCATCATTGCAGTAGCCTGCCCTATATGTGGACCCGGTGCAACGCTGGAACGCAAGTATATTATGTATACGCATACGAGCAGTTTCAACCTTGTCGTCTCTTGTGAGCGTAATGAAACCAAAACTATACACATGGGATGGTGTCGGGGATTTTGTGTATTCATATGTGTATAACTTTTACAGGAGGAACACGCAAACCGGGCATCCAAGGAATAAAACGATTTCTGCCGACCACCACGATTATACCGAATCCGTGAATTCCAGCTGCAAGTGCGATTTGACAAGCGGGTAAGTGCACCGTGTGCTTATACATCTACTCCTGTTTAGAGTATTACACGCAAGTTGGGTTATTACATGTCCCCCTATGTTTCTCTTTTTTTTCTTTTTTCACAATTGAGAGTGTGTGTGTATGGTGTTTGCCGCGTCCCCTCTCTTTTCTCCTGCAACCTGTTGGAAGCTGTGCGCTGCAGGATCTCACACCCGGGGTGTCCCGGGTTCCGAGAGCAGAGCGTTCGTGGGTAATGAGCGAGAGGGAAAGGGAGCGCCAGTTATGTGTGTGTGTGTGTTATGTTTGAAAGAGGCCCTGTAATAGGTTCGGACCCACGCATTGTCGGGACGTTTGCGGAAACGGCACTAGAAATCAAAGTTCGTCCTGAGAGAGGGGCACGGGAGTTCACCGTTACGACTCTTGACGAATTTTACGACGGGCCTAACGGTCGTGTGTGAAATTTCGGGAGAGCTGAGATGAGAGTGTGCACTTGCCCCAAACTCATGTTATACGATTGACGTGAAAAACGTATTTTTCATGTACAGATGATTTGAAAAACGGATGACGTTTAAAGGAGGGCCATTGTAGTCTCCTAGAGAGAG